CCTTCACTTTGGTTCTTTTAATTTACAACTAGTTTTTGGCAAAAGTCCGTTGGTAATTTTGGTTATTCCTCCTTACAAACATTTCATTACATCGGTGAAATATGCTAGTTTTTTTTTCACTTAATGCTTCAACCTCATCCATATGTTTTCGATGGCATCGAGATCTGGATTCTGAAGGGGCAACTGAAGATCTTTAATTTTGCTCTAATTCAGCCAGCTTGACACTAATTTCAAAGTAGGCTGTTGGTGTCTTGTTGAAATACCCAGTTTCAACCATATTGTTTTCTTTATTCATTATCCCTACAACCTGGTGATGAGAAACAGATTACAGTTGGCAGTAAAATACCCCCTACTTGCATGATGTTGCTGCCATTAAACATTACTGTGGGAATGATATCCACTGGTTTAATGGTTTCTCTTGGTTTTTAGAAGACAAACATTTGATCAATGTATTCAAATAGTTCAAATATACTTTCATCTGACAATAGCATTTAGTGCTTGTCAGAGTTATTTGTCACAAACTTTAATTGAAGCTTCATATGCTTAGCTTGCAACAGTAAACTCTTTAGGTCATTTCTATGTTGTACTATTTTAACTGTAAACATGGTCACATACATGCTTACAGATTAATATAATATCTTTTAATCCGATAATATTCTTTATTACTGTAAATGTTATTTTAGTGGATACACATGTTTGAATAGACATTGCTATTTTTTTTTTACAGTGAAATTAAATCCCCCCAGCCAAGATCATTGAAATTCCTATTAAAGAAACTGTACCTCTTACGGAAACTGCTTTAGCAAGGCATGTTGTTACTATTTCAGATGCTTATGCATACACACATATAAGGTGCTATCAACAAATTTAAAGAATTTCAATAGATTAATCGATGTTTGTTTATTTAAATTATGTAGAATTTAATGTATTTTGCTGAATATTTCAAACATCTCTTGAAATTGCTCACCAGATATTAAACAATATCATGTTCTTTAAGCAATTCATTTTGAGCCTTAACTTTGCAGAAATTTTGGGTAGCACCTTGCACACATATTAAATTTATAATTGTATGTAGGCCTTGAGTCATAATCTGTGTGAACAGTTTGTTCTCCTTGCTGTGGAAAAATAAGTGAAATCACCTGCACTTATGGGGTAGTCATTGGATGTGGAAACTGAATGGTTGATGGATTCTGGTTTATCAAAGCGAGGCTGTTCCAAGGCACTGATTTTGTAGTCTTTTGTTACCGGAAAGGGTGGGATGTTCCGGTCTGTTCTTTGTTATTCAAGGTCTGCCTTCTATTCCTTTTCTCTATCTTTTATTTTTTGAGAAGGACATTACGCAAACAGAGTCGTCTTGCACACTCTTCTATTATTTGATCCCTGTTTAAAATTGGGTCACGAGACTAGGTGTGTTTCACAACACTTACTGCCAGACCAACTTTGATTACCCTTGAGTTGAAGAAATTTTTGGCACTAAAGAGTACAATGACCAGAAAAGTGTGTTCAAAAACCTAAAGAAATATTTAAGCTGGAGAATACCATTCCACAGTAAAAATCCACTTATGAGGTCATTACATGCTTCACTGACAATGGCTAACATTTTTCAAGTTTATATATATATATATATATAAATAAACAAGTACCTTTAAAAATATTGTATAATCAATAACTTCTGTGAAAAATCCCTTTCTTTACTAGTTGTTACTTTTTCTCAAATGCTTTTCTTTTCCAATCAAATTTTCATTTTCCTCAGCAAAGAAGCTACAGTCAATACTGACATAACTATGTACATATCGAAATATATACTCAGTACAGCACTTAAATTATTTACATGTACACAATTATGCTCATTGTTGTTGTTGTTATCACAATGTTTCAGCAGTTATGCCCTCTGACCTTCATCAGGTGCTTATTGGTCTGTGTAACCTTTAGGAAATTTCAAACTGAACACTTTATTTAAAAGGTAGAGTGTTCTTGTTTTGCTGCCCATATCAAGAAATATCTCATCTAGTTCTTATTTAGTACCACTTGGTTATTGCTCACCCACCCCTTTCCTCATCCCAGAAATTCAGACAGAAACACTTCAAGTTAAATAAAACAGTCTTACACCTCCTATTTGAGTGTTCATTGGAATACAGAGATAGGGATATATGTATGTACACCAATATTTTTGTTTCAGTTTACAAGGCTATAAATACATTTGTGTGATTTTTGCCTCTTAGTATATTTACCTATGGTGCCTTGTTCTTCAATCTTGTAGCTTTTTTAAATAGCACAGAATCCTTCCCTTAGATATATTTATCCAATAAACCAATCCCTATCTACATCCTAATCTGACAAGTCCACATATGTGTATCCATTTATTTGGATATCCAATTTATTTTCCAAACATTCTACACCCACACAAAGTCCTGAATTCCAGGATCCGGTTATCCTAGTTAATAGTTCTTCAAAAATTCCATTAACAAGCAAGAAATTCAGGTAAAAAAGAAAACTGTTC